CAAGAACTTAAAACATCATCACAAGACAGAGAGAGTTCAACCAACACAGTACTGGAAATAAAAGAAAAGCATGCAAACGCAATCCACAATATTAAGACCGAAATGGCATAGGTGTCCAACACATTGGTAGGGAAAATAAGTAGAAATGAAGAGATGGAACAGAGAGGCAGTGAGCTGGAAGACAAGAGCCTAACTAGAAACATACTAGAAGAAAAATCAGAGATGAGATATAAAGAAAATGAAGAACATTAGAATCATGTGGGAGACATCAAACAGAATAACATATATATGATTGAAATTCCAGAACAGGGAAGTGACAGCGAAATCACTGAGAAGATTGTGGAAGAAGTACTAGAAGAAAACTTCCAAGGTATTTTGAAGAAAAGGGAAATCCACTTTCAAGAAGTACAGAGATTGCCAAATAGACTAGACCCCAAAAGAAAAACATCAAGATATATCATGGTAATTCTCCAAATTAAGAGATAATTTATTAAGAGATTAATTCAGAGAAAGAATTCTAAAAGCAGCATGAGGAAAACAAAAGAGTTACCTATAAAGGAGAAACAATTAGATTAAGTTCTGATTTCTCAGCAGAAACCATGTGGATTAGAAGGCAATGAGATGCCATACACAGAAAGTTGAAAGAAAACAAATGCCAGCCAAAGATCCCATACCCAGCAAAGATCTCCATTAAATATGAAGGGGAAATCAAATTCTTTGCAGAAAAGAAGGGAGTTAAGGACATTGTGAAAACAAGAACAAAACTACAAGAAATTTTCAGTTAAGTCTGTCACACAGAGATGCCAAGGGAAAGTACATGGACCATAGTAATCAGAAACAACAGAAAAAGAAACACAGAAAAATGATAAAAATAAAACCTGTCCTGACAATAATCACACTTAATGTGAATGGCCTGAATAAACCAATTAAGAGGAAAACAGTACCAGAATGGATAAAAAAGCAAAGCCTTCAAGAGACATATCTAAAAAAAAGAAGAGAAAGACAGACTCAAAGTCAAAGTCTGGAAAAAAACTATACCAAGCAAATGGCAACTTCAAAAAAGAAGGATTACTAATCTCTCGTAAAATATATTTCAGAATGAAAACCACCATCAAAGATAAAGAAGACCATTACATACTGATTAAAAGCACAATAGATCAAGAAGGCATAACCTTGATCAACATTTATGCACCAAATCATACACCTGCAAAATACATAAAACAAGGGTTAACAGAATTGAAGAGAGAAATAGATCACCGCAATGGTGGTAGGAGATTTCAATACATCACTATCACCAAAGGATAGGTCAACTCAAAAGAAACTCAGCAAAGATACAAATGACATAAATGATACAATCA